AATTTGATGTTTGACTGAGTTTGGGCTGAGGCAGGAGGATCATATTCAGTTGACTGATAATCTTGGACTATAGATTAAGACAGTTTTTCATGTTTATAGTGTATAGTTTGACCTTTTGCTCAGGATAGTGTTTGATTGGTCTCTTTTTTTCCTTTCCTTTTTGCTTCCTTCCCTACTGTCTTCCCTGCCTCCCTCTCCTTCCTTTCTTAGGCCTGTATGTACCTACCTCTAGCTAGCCTGGAAGCATTATGTAGATCAGACTAGCCTTGAACTCTCAGGGATCTTTTTGATTTTGCTTCCTGAGTGTGTGCTACCTTGCCTTACTAAATGATTTTCTTCTCTCTTTGCACCCCCCCCCCATGTCTTTCTCTTTGAGACAGTATCTCTATATGGTCCTGGCTGTCCTAGAACACACTATGTAGACCAGGCTGGCCTCAACTCACAGAGATCCTCCTGGCTCTGCTTTTCAAGTGATAGGATTGAAAAGATACAATGCCATGCCTGGCTCTGATCTATTTTTTAATGATGTCATATTATAGCAGGCACTCAGAAATTGCTTTCCTTTTTATTTGGTACATCACCTTTCCTTTTTATTTGGTACATTTAAACATATAAACATGCCAGAAGTACTCAGAATTATCTAATTTACCACCTAAAACCTAGAAGAACAGAGATTAGTCATTATTTTAAACCTGCACTTGCCTTGAAGTCCAGCAATAACTGGAAGAGGTCTCCTGATATAGGCCTTCCTTTACAGGAAAGTATTTATCCTTGAATAGGGGCTATACCCTTGGGCAGCAGCAGTTGAATGAAAAAAAAAAAAAACAAATAAAAAGGAAGGTCATGACTGCTCAGGTATGGTGAAGGAGAAAGTTTATTGTAGGTAAAAGGGACAGCATAACCAGAAGAAGAAAAATTTGGGAGAGACCAGAGTGGTCATGACACTGAGCTGTATGAGGAAAGTGGGGAGGGCAAGGAAGATAGGAGAGAAAGGAACTGGGTGCAGCAGTCAAGAAGACAAGGGGGGCAGGTGGAGCAGGTTAGGTACCCATTTAGCAAAATGGCTAGATTCTATAGGGAAGACTCTCTAGAGGAAAGGCAACCCATTGTGCTGGAGAATTTGAGACAGAGGGTGGTATATGTCAGCCATACTTTATAACAGATGGATAGAGGGATGCTTGGAGAACCTGTCACCCAGGTCCACTTTGATATGTTAAATAGGCACCTCTGCTATTTGTCTCAGTGTTTTAGACTTTACAGGTAGCAGTAATCATCCTACAGGAAGGTGAGAACTTCCACTGACATTAGTGGATCATCCATAGGACCTTTTGTTGGGTACCAAAATTGTAATGGAATAAGATTTGTATTATTATATATCAAATGTGGATGGATGAGGCTTAGGAAAGTTTGCCTCAAACAGCATGTTCCTGTTTACAAGCAATTATAGGAACTTTGAGGGGGGGTAATTTTTATTTTTTGCAGGGTGAAGGGAATTATAGTATTATTTCTCTCTCCCTTTCCTTCCTCCGAATCCTCTCATATACCCCTCCTTATTCCTTTTCAAATTCATGGCTTCTGCTTTCAATAATTGTAGTCCCATGCATAGGGATATATATATATATATATATATATATATATATATATATAT